GATCATCCCATACCGAAAGCTTGACGATATTGTTGCTGGTTTTTTAATTGAAATTATATGTTAGTTTGTATAAAACTAATTTAGTTAAAATTTTATAAAAATGATATTTTTTGCAGTATAAATAAAATTTAAAAACTTACTCTTCCAATAATAAACGAAGAATAATTTTCTGAGTTGACGACGGCATTCGTAAATTTGATCCTTATATTGCGACTAAAACTCCAATAATATCTGCAACATTAGAGAATATATTAATTATAAAATCCAATATTGTTTTTTTGGTTTTTTTTTATATTATCACATACCTGGTAGATCGTGTTTTTTGTTTGCCAACGCCAACAAATCATCGTATAAACATATTCGAAATTTTTCTTTGGCAATATTATAAGTAGTTACAACAACTTTTTCAATAGTAGTATATTCTGTAAAATAAATACGAAATTTATTGTTCGTTAATTTGTATATATATTTATTTGGTAGAATCTTGAAATGTCTGATTAAAAATATATCTCTCTCGTTTATTATATTTTTAAAATTTTCTGCATGATCCTCAAATATTTTTCCTTCAACAACATTTTCCTGCAACATTATAAGTAGAAAAGATTAGATTTTTAATAAACATAGTATAAGAAAATCAATATTAATTAGAACGTACATTTTCATCAATTAATAAGAATCCGATACCATTGAACCTATTCCCATTGAAAGGATTTCGTTCATCCCATATTCGTAGAAATCTGACCATAATACACCGATAACTATGATGTATACTTATCTGATCCAATCCTACGTGGGTTGATATCACTGGATGCATCTGATTTTTATATTCCTACAATAAATTTTATTTGATCAATAACAACATTATTTGCAATATAGTATATTTATTCATTATATTTATATGAATTAGACAATCGTTGAATGAAATAATATATGTATTTACACACAAAAATTGGTGGGATATCATATTTAAAACATTAAAAATATGATTAGCAGATAAATATTATATTTTATATAAATTAATAAAATTTAACAAAATGCAACATAAGTGATGTTTAGGTTGATCCACCAAATTGTTCTAAATAGAAATTTTATATATATAGATGTGGAGAATAATAACTATATAACCAGTGATTCATTGTTAGTAAACTTAAATCAAAAAATAAAATTATATATATATATATAACAAACATGTTAAACAAAAGTTGGTAAACAAAAATAATTTTTTTACTTCTATATATAAACATATATAATATATATTGATATAAATATAAAAAAAATTAAATATATGTTTTGGTACCAGTGAAATGTTATGTTTACTTACATTTAACAAATTTATAACACTAACCAAATGATATATTTGGCTGATTAATCTTCATTGTCATCAAAGTAAATTCAGAAAAATACTACTAATCAAATATAAAAAACAAACAGTTTAAACAAAAAATAAGAAATAAAAACATATTCTTTGACTTTTTATAAATAAAATAAAGATATAGATTACATATTATATATGATATTAATATAAGAAAATTTTAAAAAGAATTTTGCTTGGAATTATACATTTTTTAAAATAATATAAATATATTGTATCATCAGATCTATTTTATTTTTCTATAATATTTAAAAATATATCTCTGTATATATAAGAGTTTAAAACTAAGATAATAAAATATACGTTTATATAGAAGTTTTTTTGCGTTAAATTCTTATAAATAAATATACCTTATTTATTCTATAAGGATTCTCATAACAATATTAGATTACAAAGTTATAAAAGTATCCATCAATCTTTTTTTCATAAACATATTCACATACGTATATGTATGAAATTTTAAGTATGGATTTAAATATAGAAACAAAATAAATCTAATTTGTGCAAGTTGTTTTAAATAAAAAATTTTATTTACCATTATTTGAATTCAACGTTAACAACAAAATTGCATAGAAACAAATATAATTATACATTATATATATAAATTAAATCTGATTTAAAATAGGTGGGATATGATTTTTTTAAAAATTAAAATAATCTAATCCAAATTCTATAGGAAACTAATAAAAAATTTATTTTAGAAAAATACTATATTCATAATAAAAAAACCCAAACAAAAAACTATAATATAATATAATATAATATAATATAATATAATATTATTGTTATTATTCTACCGCTGAATTAAGAGATATACCATGAGTTCCGCGATTCCCAAAAACGAATGACACGGACAACTATTTTCCATTTACCATGACTTCTATCAAGTTGATCAAATGTGGAATAACCATTATTTTTCTACAGCAAATATTAAAGGTAAAAATTGAAAAAAAAAATTAAGAATAAATATGTTATTATATAAAATAAAATTATAACTATTTAGATTGTCTTTTCAAATGTTGGCTAACCAAAAATTACAACTACATTACGCATAACGTTTTATAATTATATAGTTAGTTCCTGATTCAATATTAATAATGGATAAATCACAATGATATCAAAACATTGTGAAAACTAACCAAAAACACATACCTTCTCTCCAAGTTTGCCACCTGCTTCTTGATCAAAACGATCTATAAGACTCATACTTGCAACTGTTCTGATAAACACATAAAATTATAATGCAAACAAATTAAAAGTTATGTTTAACAAATTGATAACATTAACAAACTATTTTTGTTGATTGATTCATTGTTATTAAAATCAATTTAAAAAATTGATTCTATATAAAAAAAATAGAATAAATAGAAAATAAAAACAAAAAAATAATTTTTCACTTTCAGTATATAAACATATATAATATATATTTATGATATAAACGGTAAAAAATTTAAAATATATATTTTGTTACCAATAAAATGTTATATTTACATATATTAAATAAATTGATAACAATACCATAATAAATTGATAACAATACCAAAGTATATGTTTGGTTGATTAAGTTTCATTATTATCAAAGCAAATTAAAAAATTCTTACTAAACAAATATAAAAAATATATATACCAACCTAAAAAAACTGGATTGGACCACTAACCTGAAATACAAAAATAATCTGTCTATTCGTACATTGGGTGCTGATGAATATCGTACATGAAAACATAATCACTATTTATAACTTAGAATTAATTAGTAATTGTAGTTATTGTTCACTGAATTCAAAAACTAAATTGACTATTTATTAATAAAGTTATAATGGAGGAAGTCAACATCGATTTTGCAGTAGAGTTCTCTAAAAATACATGACCATAATACTTAGAAATCTTTTGTCTATTAATCTTTTGTTTGTCCCATATACTTAGAAATCTGACCATAATACACCGATAATTATGATATATATTCATCCGATCCAATCACGCATGGGTTGAAATCACTAACTGTATCTGATTTTTCAATTCCTATAATTAATTTAATTCGATCAATAACGATATTACTAAATTTGTTTCCAGTTTTTTACAGTTTAAAGATACATCGTTATTGCGTGAATTGTGAAAAGAACCATAGATACACAAACGTACATATTTAGATACTAACTTTTAGTAAATATAAAAACAAATATAATATACGTATATGTAGATTACAAAAGCATTTGACTATCTCGAAAGATTATAAGAATCGAGATGGAAAAAACAATTTTACCCAAAAAAAGAAGAAAGAAAACAAAACAATTTAAAATCGAATTACCAACCTGAACGAATCGGACTCCGTCTTTGATTTCAAACACTGCCAATTATCAAAAAAAAAGGATTGATACTTATCATGAATGTGGGTTGAAAGCACCGCCCTTTATAGTTTAAATTCATTAAATGAAATAATTATTATTCAATAAATTCAAAGCTGACTTTTACTTAAATTAATTATACATTAATAAAGTTATGATATTGAGAAAGAAATATAAATTTTAATATTTTATTTAATTAAGTCTGGTATTGAATTAAATTTCGTCTAATGACAATAAAATTATTGGTTATAAATAAATATATTGATTGAATCTATTTATGGCCTTTTACATTAACATATATATTTGACACGTGTCATCCCCGTATCAATCAACTCTACTTTTATATATATAGATAGATGATTGATGCATGCAATTTCTATTTTTCGTTTCAAGATTGAGTTTAGAACTATTTAATGAAGTGCATTTGCATTGTAGGAGTCACGTGACGATTTCTTAGAAAACCACAAAACAATTATAAGAAATTAATTACAGTCCTATATTCAAGGTTTGGTAATAACATATGTTAATTTAGAAATGTACAAGTTTTTATCAAAATGCTAAGGATAACATCTCATATAATATATATAATATAACATATAAATATAATATACTTTTTAGATACTGAAATAACTTTATGGTTTAAGTCGACACAAAAACAAAAGGGTATATCGTGGACTCATTCAGAGTCGTCAATACTATATATTGTTAATCGACTTTATTTTTTAACGTGTTGATCAAGTTAGTGCATTATCTTGAATTTTTTTTTTATAATCAGTTAACCGATCTTTCACCCCAACTACATCTCTCATAGGATCGGAAAAGTTCAAGTGAATTTCCTTTCGCAAATGGAGACTTGAACCTAGGTCGGGATTATCCTAGATATATTACACCGTCTATTCCTTGTATCCATTTCTAATTTCACGTCCCATTACTTCTGAAATCATAGACTTGTCTTCTTGTACCATCAACTTATATTAATTATTCGATCCCGTGTCTCATCTCCTCGATTGCCCAAATTTTGTTTTTTTTTTAAATCCTAGACCTAGCTTGTAGTAGATGATCATGATATGTACCAAAGCGAGCAAAATGTTAAGTATAATAATAATAATAATAATAATAATAATAATAATAATAATAATAATAATAATAATAATAATAATAATAATAATAATTTTATTCATGAGTCATCCATTGTCATTACAGATTGAAACATATATATGTATAGTACATGACATATTTAAAGCGAACATATTGTTATAAATAAAGATAGTATTTTGGTTTGGTTCTTAGCAGTAGCAGTGGCATTGCCCGCCATGAGAAAAGTGTTTGCAAAAGCCGCCCTTCTGGTTCGAACAACCTTTGAGACACCACTGGTTGCATCTTTCTTCGTCGTGATTTGTATTACATTTCCCAAACTTCGGGTGAGTGTTGCAGCACAGGGAATCATCGCCCATCGCCACTTCAACATCTGAAAATATCGCAAAATATATAACATATAGATAATGAAATTCAGATCATGAATGCCATGTCAAAGTGTGAGCAATCGAGATTTTATCGTATCGTTATCGTGTTTCGATTATGGAGAGACACAAACCGGCGAAGAAGAGAAGAGCAACGAGCAAAGCAAAGGAGATGACTTTCATGTTGGCCATGGTTTATATTCTCTGTCTCAAGATTTTTGTCGTGTTTTTTAATTGAGGTATATGAACATTGCCCGTACTTTCTCTTATTTATAGCCATGTCAATATTACACATTGTTATGTCCTAAACTGTCGAAGTCACAATATTCACTCGTTTCATCTTTAAAATAGAAAACGACAACTAAAACTGGTAATAGCATTATACATTAGCAAAAGAGTGTTGATGCGATGTGAGGTTTGTTAGACCCTATTTTTGGATCTTTCTAAGGTGAGTTCGATTGTTTTTCATTTTACAAATTACAAGAATATATATAAAAAATTGTTAATATATTTCAGTTATTATATCACTATTTCTTTGATAAAAAAAAACATACTATATCTTGCAATGCAAAGTGGTAGCCCAAGTTTCATAAGGTACGAATGTGATGTTCAAACTAAAACAATATTTTCATATCCAAAATCTACTTATAGTTTATTGATGCATACAGTTTTTAATTTTCATTTTGAGATTGAGTTAATGGGGTGCATTTACATTAATATAGGAGTCACGTGACGAGTTCTTGGAACAAACCACAAAAAAATTGTGAGAAATTAGTCTTAAAGATTTGTTGATAGGGAAATTAGAAAAAAAATATATGAATTTCTCAATTTTGCGAGATTGAACCTCCAACTTTTTTTCTTGTCAAATAAATCCCTAACTTATAGAAACATATCATATATGTACGTTCATTAAATTTCCTTATTGTTATTAAGAAAGGAAAATACATAACCCTGTCCAACATGATTTATAGATCAGAAATTTGTCTGTGTTTAAATTTTCAACATAAGTTATCGGAGTCGATTCCCTAAAAAAATCAAAATCTCTCTAAAAATTCACTTCGCCTCTTTTTTTTCCCGGTGTCAATGTGATCGAGCTAAGCACATAATTATGTCATTGACGTTCTTATACGATGATGCTATTCTTATAACATGAAATGATGTCTAACAAATATATTTTTTTTATAATCAGAAAATTCACTGGGTCTTCGGCTACTTAATCTTCTAGGTTCAGAGTAAATTTTTAGTCACGCAATTAATTGTCCATCCTCTCCACTAGTGAAATCAAATATATATATTTGGGAAAATGTTTAATTTACCATACTATTAATCCAAAAAGAAAAAAAAAATACTAAAGTTGTTTCATCTCTTACAACCTTGGCAATAAACTACTCTTTGTTGGAGGTTCTTTTTGCTGTAAATGGAAGAGTTGGCCCAGTTTTTAATTAGTTTAGAGTTATTGAATTGGTCAAAGACGGTTATTGGCGGTTAATTGCTTTGTTTCTATTTATGTAAGATTATTTTGTCACATTCTAAAACATCTTGCAAACAATTTTTTTGAAACCGAAAACTAATCTTGGGGGCTGTATACAATCATTTGATTTGAAATATACACTCTCTCCAAATTTAAGGTTCGAACTCGGAAAGCAATATATCTTTTGTGCCCCCATGTTATCGGTTGAACTACCAAGTTTGGATTATCTTGCAAAACATACCATACCATACCATACATTCATATAACGCTTGCAAACAACCGATATATTAAATACGAAAATACATGAATCATGAATGTTGGTTACATGGCCTGAGGACAAAACAAAAGTTTAGATCACTGTTTGCCCACATTGCAGATTTTAATTTTCAACAAAATTTACTCAAGCTTTGGTGGAAGCGGTAGAAGGAGGAGGCGAGAAGACGAACGGCATAGTCGGAAAACCGGGTTTGGGGAAACTAGGAAAAGGGTAACTGGGGATGCTCGGAAAACCAGGAACAGGTGTAGGGATGCTCGGAAAACCAGGAATAGGCGTAGGGATGCTTGGAAAACCAGGAATAGGCGTGGGGTTGCTAGGAAAACCAGGTTTAGGGTTTATCGGGAATACCAGAAAATTCGGGGTTAGGTGAGATGGCTGGGAAAGTGGTCTTGCCGCGAGGGTGGAACTGATCATCAACAAGGATGCCACAGCCATCAAAAGACAAGTAACCGAGGTTGTTTTGTATGAAGAAGCCATTGTTTATGCTTTTGTGTGTTTGCGAGTTTTTCTTTTTCTTTTTCTTTTCTTGTTGGTTTTCTCCTCTGAATTAGGGTTTATATAAGAGCATGACTCAACGAGATGGTCAGAATTTGAGGTTTTCGTTGGGCTCTATTTTTGGGATTAATGATTTTTTAGTGCGTTAGTTTTACTCATCTCTCTAAACAAATTACGATAATAATTTTTTAAAAAAAAAAGTCGTTAGCATCTTTGAATTTTTTTTCGCTATTCTTTACCACTAATTGTTTGTTAACAAAAAACCATATGTCGCATGTTGAAAGTGATCGTATAATTGACAAATTACTCTTTGTATTAGGGCTCTGTTTATAACTAAGAGTACCAAGATACTTTTTTTATTTATTTTTTCAAATAGATTTTTTTTATATGCCCCGATTAAAGTTGTATATATAAATCAAGAAATACATAAGACAACACCACTCAATATATATATATATATATATATATATATATGTCATAAAAAGATTGAGAAGATGGACAATGAGATGATGGCTCAAGGACGAGTAGAAGCAGAAGCGGAAGGAGGCGGGGAGAGGAAAGGGATGGACGGGAAATTGGTGGGAAGGGATGGCATTGTCGTCGGGAGTTGAGGCAACGCCACCTTCGGAAGCGGAGGGAGAGCGGTTAGGACCGTCGGGGGGGAAGGCTGAGCAGTCGGAAATGGCAACGGAGGCAATCCCACTGTCCCGGGATTCGGCAGATTAGGAATCTGAGGCAGCTGGAGGAGAAGACGTGAAGAAGCTACACCGATATCTATCATATTAGAGAAGGAGAGAGCGACGAAGAAGACAACGGAGATGATCTTGCGAGAGGCCATTGTATTGCTCTTGGCTGGTTTCTGTTGCAAAAGAGTTTTGAGCAATTATATATATAGCTGCATTATCCAAAATGTTACGTACATGGGCTTAATTATTAATCGGTTTAGTAAAATATTTAAAATATAATTGTTAGTTCAACTTCTAAAGGTGTTTGCTTCACATCTGATAGATTCGAGTAAATTGGTTCAACAAGTCCTTACCCATATATTGGTCAAATTGTTTGCTCACGGCAAATAAAACGCTAGAAAGGATTTTGGACTAACCATTAAAATTATACAAAAATAAATTTAAATTTTTTTCTTGAAAGAGAGCCTTTTTCGTGAGCTAACAACAGTTATAACCTAAACCCATGAAATTTATAAAAACAATCATTCAGGTTCGAGATCAGATGTTCTAATAAAATAAAGAAATATGCTTTCGTTAACCTTATGAGGCTTGGATAATCACTATCTAATTATAAGATTTTGGTTTGTTTATCCAGCGAATGTGAAGGTTAACAGTTTAGTATTTCTTGTAATTGGTCAAAAGATTCAATCTCAAAGTCAAAGCGACAAACCCTAAAACCATCAGAGACAAATCTAGCACAACCTCTTATTGTCTTCATTCAAGATCCTCTCTCAGTTACTTCCTTCAAGCTCTTCTCCTATATATAAACCTCATGGATCCATGAGATGAGACAACAAAACAACAATGGCTTCATTCAAGATCCTCTCTCAGTTACTTCCTTCTTGGTGGCTCTTACGTTTTTGTGCATGATCAGTTCCGCTCTTGCATCGAGACAGCTTTTCCAGCAAATTCCTGCGACGAAATTCCCGGAAGTCCCGGGTTTCCTCCCAGAGCGGCCTGGATTGCCTAAGATTCCTGGTTTTCCACAGCTTTTCCGATCTTCCGATGCGGCCTGGTTTGCCTCAACTTCCTGGTTTTCCGAGACCGAGTTTTCCTTCCATACCGTTCTTCTCAACACCTTCTAAAGCCTGAATCCGAACCCTAAATTTGGAATACTATTAAACATTCTTTGCAATATTTACATGGTGTTTCTGATGTTCTATATTCAGATATTGTACCCAACATCGATGGAAGAGTTACTAAGTTGGACGTGTCATATGCTACATTTATGAAATGAAACAGTATTTTTTTCACGATTGTTATTTTTTTGTAACCAAACCAAACCCAGCCGAGTCTAACCCAGTTTCATTTAAGTACAACAGGCTTTGCATGTCTCGCCCCAAGCCTACCACAGTACTTCAACAAATCATGATCAAGCCAGTTATAAGGACGGCTTAGAAATTATGTCAAATAAATAAAAAAAAGAGTTAATAACTTAAATAGAAACATGTAAATGATTCATAAGATCAAGACAGTTCTCAATCAAACAAAGACTAGTTAGATGGTTCACAAGATTTTCTCTTCTTTCTGATCCTACATTCCATTAGCTTCCTAAAACAGAGTTTAACTATTTACGGCGGGGTATTTCCACGAATAACCAAACGGACCAAGATTTGAGCAACAAGTGGAAATTGAAGTAGAACCTATGAATATTTAAGTAAAACAGAGGCAATATAACGGTGAAGATGATCTCGCCAGGTTTTGCATTATCAAATCCGATAAACAACTTACCCGTTATGAGTTCCAAATGTTTGGTGTTGTAGTAAATTGGATTCGATACTCGAAGCTCAAAAAAGGCGACGAAAGGCGCTCTTATCTCTGCACCAAACTAAAACAAAAAACATCGTAAATAGCTTCTGGAATTGGATCGCCGTCTTGACGAATCCAGATGTCGTAAGGAACAATCGTCATCAAGGCAAATAATCAGAAAAGAAAACATAGAAGATGCAGAGTATTAATCCAACCCATCGTAGAAACTTGTTATTGTGTTTCAGGCACAGAGTGAATGGGGAAAAAGGCCGAGTCTGTTTTCCGCAGGCAACGATAGACGGTCATCCATCCTGCCGCTTCTGTCAGTTTGAGAAAGACCTGCACTTTCGACTCGTATAAACAGAAACAGCAACGAAAAGTTAAGAACTCGATAAAACATTTGATCCAGAAAGAACCATCTTTCAATTATGACCTACCACTAACATCGCAAAAAAAGTCGTAAAACACGAATATAACATGGTTCAGAGCCATAATTTTCATCATAAGGAGCAAAAGGAGAACATACTTTGTTACTCGCACAAGACCAATACAGCGTCTGGGCGATAGTTTGGCATCCTGCAACAGCTACTGAATAAATTACCAACAATGCAGAAGAATCTAATGGCGCAAACATAAATAACAAAAAACGAGCTAAAATGGACATCACCCACCTTGAACATTTGATATCTTCAACCCCTTTAGGCAAGCATTATTCCTGATATTATCAATTAGACTGAAAAGCCAAAAAAACCTCAAGAGGCCATATTTCTTTGAGTAAATCATTCCAAGTTTAGAGGCATAAACCAACAAATCTGGCATCCGTAAAACCCAAAGATCCGACATAGATCGAGACAAAGTTATGAAACCGCTAAATAACGTCCTTTTCATTAGCTCCCCGAAAAAAAAAACCCAGATAATACATTATTAACTGGGTCTTACCAAAACAAGATTATAGAAAGGGGAACAGTGGCTACCTATAGCCCGATAAATATACAACAAAACCCAAGCTAGATCGATACAAAGGAAAACAATACACCTAAAACACTGCTACATCGAACAATTGTTTGAATGAGGACTACAATTAACAAGTACAACAGCCAACGAGAAATAAAACCGAAAAAAGAAAGATAAAGAGAAGAGAGCCTTACTTCAATCAGCAGCCTTTAACCTTATCATCTGCCACCGATGAAAGTATCGGCAAACTACAAAAGAACTCATCAAGCTTCTCAAAATGCCAATTCCTTCAATGTTACTCTCCTCCCCACTGACCCACAGATCCACCACCATGTCCGTCTCCACTAACTTGATATGATAATGGATTCTGAACTTGTTTCTTAGGTCTCCCAGGCCTTCTCTTGGGTACACACTCTGCACCGTTTTGCCCAATAGCTTCGCTAGTCGATGGATTTTGAATTACTTTGCGAGGTCTTCCAAGCTTCCTCTTAGTAGGTTTTGCAGGTGATTTTTTCGGCTGACCTATCTTTGCTTTCTTTTTCATCTTCTCGTTCCACCGCCAATCATGGTCATCCTCGTCCTCCTCACTAGGTTCAGAAATTTCTACGTAAACATCATCATCGTCATAATATACCCTCGGAGAAGACTGTCTTTGCACCGGTTTTGGCAAAACCCCATCAGAGGTTTCAGTCGTCTTTGAGAACCCTATCGGGAAGAAACCCCAACAGCAATAATAACGGTCGTCTTCAGTAAGTGGGGGTGGAGAAGGAAGCTTAACTGCCTGAAAAGATCTCCGGCAGCTCTTAGCCTGGCATCGGAGCACGCATTCCTCGTAAATATCAGGATACTCATAAAGCACAAAACAGTATGGACAAGTAGTCCAGAAACTCAGTGCCTTGGGCTCAGAAGCAGTAGTAGACTGTGCAACCCTACTTGGCCTAGCTTGTATGGACGGTGGCAGTGTTTGCTCGGAAGCCATATGTATCTCCGAGACACGAGTTGGATGGGAGACTGGAGGTGGTGGCGAGGGACCAGTAGGCCGAGAGACGAGAGGCGGCTCCGAGGGCTGAGCTGACTCTGATGCCTTGACTGGCTCAGATGTCCTAGTAGGTGGCTCAGAAGGGCCCTTTGGCTCGGATGACTTCACAGACTTATTGGGTTGAGTAGGCTCACGCAGCTGCGTTACCTCACTCGTGGGTATGGGTTTAGCCAGTTGGGTAGGCTCAGACGGCGGCATTGGCTCAGATGGCTGTACTGGTTGTGACACCTGTGCTGGTTCCGACAACCGAGAATGCTTAGGTGGCCACATTGGCTCAGACGAATGTACCGATTCAGATGGCTGCATAGGCTCAGATGGCCATGTGGGCTCAGATGGGCGCAGAAGCTCAGACAGCTTCACTGGCTCAGACAACCGAGTTGACTTTGATAATCGTAATGTCTCAGACGAATGTACAGATTCAGATGGCTGCATAAGCTCAGAGGTCAGCATAGGCTCAGCATGCAGCAGAGGCTCGGTTGGCTTCGGTAGCTCAAATGGTCTCACTGGCTCAGAGGGCCGTATTGGCTCTGAAGACCTGGTTGACTTTGCTGGCCACAACGAATCAGACAGATGTGACGATTTAGATGGCCGCATAGACTCAGAGGGCCGCATAGGCTCAACCGAGCACATTGGCTCAACCGGGCACATCGGCTCAGACGGCCTCGTTGGCTTTGAGGACCGAGTGGAGTCAGGCGGCCACAATGTCTCAGACGAACGATTCTGATGAGCCAAGCCGATGGACCAGCCTAGCTTGTCCGAGTCAGGGAATTGAGTTGGTTGAGCCCTTTCGGTTGCATTGTTCAAATTCAGTAATTTATCTTCCTTCACTGGTTGTTTGTAGTTCCTACTACCACTAGAACCACTAGAACCACTTCTAATCGACTCCGTTTGTTCTTGCCTTACATGTAGATACTGCTGCGACGGCTGCTGAAGCTGCTGGCGCTGCTGCTGCTGCTGAACTGATCATCAACAAGGAT